TCCTCAAAGAGATAAAAAAAGATATACTCTTCCTTTTTTTTAATGAATAAGTAACATTGTTTGCTAGGGAGAGTGTAAGAAGGCCCCCTCCTTCTGGAGGGAGAGTTTGAGGGTTTCCTCCAAAAAATGCTTTTTTAAAATGAATACATTTTGAGGCAATCTAGTGTACTTTACAGCATTTTACCTTTTCTTCTTACAAGGCAATTATTACACGTTTTATAAACAACTTTCTTCCATCACTCAAAAAATAAAATATAAATAACGAAAAACGTTCTTAATCTTTATTGTTGTTACTGTTGTTTCTGTAGTGTCACATTATTATTATTTTTTTTTTATAATTATTTCAATTAAGTTATTAGCACCATTTGTAATTTTCTTGACCTGAATCTGATCACTGTAGTGAAAGGTAGAATTTGTATATCTGGAAAGAGAAAGCATTAAACTGCTTTTTCATTAATTTTTTTTCTCAAAAAATCATGAACTGTGTTTCACATTACTAAGATCTGGGACTCCATGAAATTGACATATAGAGGGCTCATTTTTAAAGTTCCTTTTTACTCATTCAGTAATCATAAAATCAGGTTTAATGTTTGTTTTCTTGCAACATGTTTACACGAAACATGTAACAGTATTGCTTTTCAACATATTCCTGTATAAAATATGCCAAACCTCACACACATAATTCAAACTTTCATATATCATAACTTCTCTCTTTCCTAGACTAACTTTTCTGTAACATGGTCTGTGCTTTCTGGCAAAAGGCATCTGCATGAAACATCACAAAAAATGAGTTTCAATGCAGACACATGTGGTAACTTGTTTATTTATCTGAATTCCATTATAGTGATTATTCTCGGCTTAAACTTAACTATGACAGTAGTTTTGCATCTGACATTACACACAGGACATGTTTTTTATGATACCTTGCTTGGAAATTGATTTATCTTTTTATTATATATTATTTAAAATTTTATTTCCCTGACACTGCTTGTTTTTATTTTTTGTTGGGCTTGCTTTATCATACACACTGTGAGAGTTACTTCTCTTGACTGGAATTTTCTTGTCTTACAAGTACAAAATGACATTGAAGTTTATTTTTTGACAGCTTTTGGTGCTATAAGTAAGTTTACTTTAAAAAATCAATTAATATTTACAAGTACTCAGTAATTTTCTAGCAAACTATTAAAAAAGTAACTGCCGGAAATGCGAGAGTAAGTCGTAACAATTCCTGTTAAAGATTGAAATATCTAATTTTTTAAATTATACTTGGGTTATTGATATTTTCTTATAGTCCTTTGAAATTGTGAAAATAACCTTTTTATTTTTGCCTATTAGAAATGCTTTGAACATTGTGAAGGACGATCTCATCGCAAAAGTTGATGAATTGACTGGGTAAGTAATGCTACAGTTTAACTATCTTAATAAATTTAATTTGTAATTTAGCAATGTCATAGTATTTGCTTAAGTAAATTTTAGTAATTATATTGAGGATTATTGTTTTCTAATAGCTATATGTACATATATTTAAAAGTCTTGTAAATAACATGAAGTAATATTTTATTTATTAATTTTATAGTTTTTCATTTGGAAATTTTCTACAAATTTACTACAAGTATGTTGAGCTATTGAATTATTTATATTCTTTTAATCAGTCAGTAATTCTGAGAGATGTCTAACATTTCAAGAGTTCCAAATGAAAAACT